AATGTATGTGTGACTTGACGGTTTGGTTGAACTCCATACATTCCTTTGTAATTTTAGAAGGGTTTGAATGCTAATAACATTGTTTCTATAAGGCAAAACATTCTGAACTTAGCCAACAAGCTTATTGTAAGTTGTTTTTTCTTGTGATGGGGTTACGTTTTCTGAAACATTTACTGAATTGATTTTTCGAACATGGACCCAGTCCCTTGCTCGTTTGGGCTAAAAGGATGCCTGATCGATGCAAAAGTAGAGCTTGGGTTGCCTGTGGCGTTACACGTTTTGCATTATGGTCATCTTTATAAATACCTGTATCGTGGAAGTAGAGGAATGGACAGGGGCGAATAACTGTGAATTGTGCTCTTGCTTGGGGCCAACAGGCGCCAGCGAAGATAATATCACAGTATACATCTCCTGGTCCTGATAAAAACAAAATAACACAATAAGAAGGAAAAGGCTAACTTAGAGTCGGATTGAACGCTGAAGTCAGGGCAAGGCTAACTCATAGGATCGAAACCGAGAATGAAACACGCGGGACCCCAGCCCATGCAGACTGTAACTAGAGGCGAATGCACTACTGCTACGGCACCTTTGATCCCCAAGCTAATAGGGTTTAAAAAAGGGAATGAATTTATCGTTCTTAATCTATTTGTCAAGTCCATGCAATGTCTATTATATTTTATGTAGGTTTTGCACCATCACGTGCCCAAGCCCATAATACAGCTTGGGGTGCCTGTGGTTAGATGGAAGAACAATAAAATCCCTTTGCTCTCGGGAATTGAATTCTTTCTTATGTAAGACGATTGAATTGTTCCTGCCATCTAACATGGCTGCCGTCGCGTGATGGTACAAAACCTCTATTATACTTCCGTTTCTGTAAATTTGCTGTTATGCTCATGTCAGGATTCCATTTAAACTAGCCTTGCTAAACTGAATGTTTCTGTATAAATATTGACTTAAAATAGAAAAAATTCCTTAATTACATAGAAAAATTGAAGCATTTACGTATGACATACGTTTTATCTTCCTAAGGTGAAATACATTTTACCGCACATCAGTTTGTTCTCCTCGTTTCGACTTATTCAAGATTCATTCTCAAGAGCGTTTTTTATAAGCAAACTAAAGTCTTTAGTTCTTAAGATTTACTTACTTAAATTGTCGATATAGTTATCGGTGTTTTTGTAGCACAAATCACTCACGTAGTTGTAAATATCTTCAAAGTCCTGCCCTTTCACCTGACGAAAAAAGACCTGGAATTGTAACAGGTTTTTTTTTTTTGAAAAGGGGACATGTTTTGGGATACCTTTGTGGCTTGTGAATATGACTTATATACACCTATTTCATTAAAGTTGTCATCGCCAAAGGCGAAAGGCGAAAGGCGAAAGGCAATAGGCGATAGACAAAAAGCGATAGGAGATAGGTCATTCCAATACCCAAGATCCACGCTGTAAGGAATCGTGTTTCTGCAGTCTTAAGCCCCGCCTACACGAGCAATTTTTTTGTGGCAACTTTTATTTGCTCGTGTAGACGATCAAGATTGGCCAATTTTTATGTAACAACTGTGTTTGCTGGAAAACTGGCATGTCAGTTTTTATGTGGCAAATAAAAATTTCCACACACGTACCGAAAATTGTCCATGTCATGGGACGAGACGACACATAAATGTGGCAATTATTTTGACGTCATCTGAGCATCTAATTAAACATGCCGTTTCCAGACAGAGAAAAAACATGATACTGTATAAAAAACGACGAGAAGAAAAGAACGGTAAATTAAACTTGAAACTAAAAACGGGAAAAAGTTTTGAAAGCCATCACGGCTGTTTCCCTCAACCCTTTTACTAGACTATAAGTAAGTCCTTGAGCCTCTCTACATAATTGGGTTTTCCGGGGTTTTACCCAATATTTYCTATGTATTTTTTTGGTCTTTTCTATTTGATATATCATTAATAAAGTGCTTATTGCAGCAGCGTTTCTAGTTCTTTTCTTTATTGGCACCATTTTGCTTTGTACCCTAGCCTTTATTCCATAGACATCTCCGCTGTCCGAAAATATTACTGGCGCAAATTGATAGCGAAATATTTGTCGATCGTCTACACGAGCAAATAAAAGTTGCCACATAAAGTTGTCACATAAAAATTGCTCGTGTAGACGGGGCTCTATTCGCGTCAAGAACATGTACCCTAGTGTTGAGACTGATTCAATGTTCTTTGTCGTATTTAACAAAACCATTTCCATGTCGGAATGACCTATCGCCTATCGCCTTTGGCGATAACAATGTTTATTGAAATAGGAGTACCGTAAATCCTCTATTTAGCCCCCCCTCTCAAATAAGCCCCCCCTTTTTAAAGGAAAAAATATGTTAAGTCCCCCCTCTCGTTTTAGCCCCCCCTCCCCCTTTCACAACTAAAGAGTCACGTGTACTGATTAAAGGTGATTTATTAAAGTCTTGGTTGTTCAGAACATTTCTTTTTAGCTTGCTTTGTTAATGTTACCGTGTTTTAGTTTTGCTATTCACAATAATCGTAAATTATACTTGAGGGGGGGCTAAAAGTTATTACAGTTAACTGACATTCGACCGAAAAATAGTAGTCAACTGGTAATAGACCTACCCCGAATTCGCTTGACTGGTCACGAAACAATGGTTTCAAGTTGAGATTGAGCTTGAGGAACAAAATAATCAAGTTCAGTCTCAACTTCAAACCATTGTTTCGTGGTCAGTCAAGCGAATTTGGAATAGGTCTATTCTACCCGCATTGGCACACCCTCAACTGAGGGATGTCTGGTGAAACGCGGTACCTAGATCGAAATATTACTGAGGTACGTTATAACCCGTTATGCATGTAGTGAAGGGAATTTACCGTCCCCAAGTCGGTCCGAGGATAGGAAACTGTGCCCTCATCCTTGAAAACGGATATTCAAGAACTCAAGCACAGTTTTTCACTATCCCGGAGCTCCTGGCTTGCCCTCAGAGGAAAAGTTTAAAAAAAAAAGATTAAGTGTACTCGCAATTTGTTTTGTTACATTAATTTTAATCCCTATAGTTTCACCTTGAGTATAATGAACAGTTATAAAGTACCTGGAGGATAATATATAATCGCTCACAAAACACTAACCGGATAGGCATAAAAAGGATGTCTTTCTAATGTAATTATGCGAGACTAAACCGGAGGAACTTTTTATCGATAGCTTTTTATTATTCTAGACTCTTTTTCGTTCCGTATGAAATTTAGTAGGACTTCTGCATTGATTTTTGTTTTCGATCTCGAATATGCTTAAAGTCATTACTACGGCTGCCATTGGCGGTTCTCTAGTTCCCCAATGAAAGATCGTTCAAAATATTTTTCTTGTTGGCCTACCAATAGAACTTACCTTCATGGAAAGTATGAGTAACACAAGATACCGTAAATGATCTTGCATGACTTGTGATGATCTTGAAAAACAGAGATATCAATTGAGAAGGTACGATGACAAGAATGGAAATACGGCCTTCTAATTTAATTTTCTTTCATCCTTTGAAGGCGCACATCGTGCGATCTGTGATTGGCTGAGCTAGACTGAAAAAGGCCGGATTCAGTTGATCACGTTTCTCAGGGGAAGACGAAGAAACGAGGCAGCAACTGCAAAACATACAAACAAACGAACAAAACCGATAAAAACAAACAGCAACAGCCAACAAATACAAGACTCAAAAAAACACAACTGAAACAACAGCAAAGGAGACAATTCAAAAATTATATATATAAAGTGTGAAAAAAATAGCATAAATAGAAATAGCTATGCAAAGTCACGAAATTTTACAGCAGTTTGTATGGTAGGGGGCACAAACTTGGCTCCCATCATACAAGCATCTCTAAAATTTCGTAACTTTACGGAGCTATATCTCCATTTTTGCACCTCTCACCCTCTAACTTGGTAAATTTGCTGAGATTTGAGGTGATCTGTCAGTAATGGCGTTGATTGATTTTTGCCAACTTCGGCTCATATCAAAATTTGAAAAAACCGGAAGGGTCTTTTGGAAAATAGGTTCAAATTTCCACGTTATTCTTGCTATTACTAGCTGTTTTATCTATCATTTTGGTATTCATGCAATATATTAAACACTTAAATCGACAAAACCATTAAATAAATAGGCCTCTTACCTAGACTTCGTCAGCCCCTGCTCTTATTTTCCCCTTGGACTAACTTCACTCTCTCCAGCTTAATTGATTTTCGATATCTGTTCAAAGGAAAGCCGACTTTAATTAGTTGAGACATGAAGCAAAAAAAAAAGTCGGCAAAAACGAAAAAATATCTTTGTTGTTGATGTTCATACCAAAATCATAGAAATGTCTGGAAATAACTGGCTATCTGTTTTTGTGTGTTTTATTTCATTATTGGCGAAGGTGTGAAGTCAGGTGTAATTCAAACGTGATTTATTTAATTCATTTATTTGTGGTAAATTTTCTTTTTATTCTTCGCATATCTACCCTTGGCTCCAGAGGTTTTATTTCGCTTCTTGTAAAGGGTACACGTGAGCGCCAAAGGTGTGAGGGAGCGAAAATAACAAACCTCTGGGCTTCAAGCGTTAAATCCTTTGAACTCGCCGAACCAATCGCAGACCTACAATATAGCAAAGAGTCAAAATTTCACCCTAGCCTTTTGGCCCTTAGACTGACCAATGATAGTGAAGTCAGCTATTTGATCGTCCACATTGAGGTGCATGAAGAAAACCTAGAGTTAGGGTTAGGGTTGCCTAAAATATTTCAAGTCATTTGTAGATGAAAATAACGAAACTTAATAAATGCGCTCTTTAAAAAAAGCGATACAAAGTAGCGTGACTACAATCGCGCTTGTATGATATTGAAAAATTGCCAAACATTGGCCCTTTTCTTTTGTTATCCCCGTTATTAGGTCCCACCACAGGCAACCCAAGCCAGTTCCTCTGATTTGACGTCATTCAAAATTCCACGATCACTAAGGACACGCTGACCAATAGCAATAAAGTTTGACTCGACGACGGAAACAACAACAGAGATCAACTTCTTGCCTTGTATCTTTCATGTATTCATCGCCTGCTAAAAATACTCCTCATAAAAATCCCTAATTGGTCGGCAATTCCTTTTATTTCCAAAGAAACAAGTGACAATTTTAATCATACGTACAGGAAAGAGAGATAGAACAAGAGAGATAGAACAAGAGAGAGAGAAAAAAAATGAGCGATTTGGTTGCAACTTGGCAAGTTGCTTTGGCGGATCGCGTCCACGAAGTTCGCTTTGAACACGGGACAACAACAGGACGAAGAGTGATTCTTGTCGACAATCAAGAAGTGTTGAAGAAACCCTGGATGTTCAGGCTGGTAGGACGAGAATCATTTAACGTTGGAAGCAAAAAAGCGACTATACATATTGAAGCTGTGAGTGGCTTTCAATATGAATACACTTTGGAAGTAGATGGAAAGTCGCTGAAAAAGTTTGTGGAAAATAGAAAAAAAACTGCTAAAGTTTGGACACTTTTATTAGATGGAGAGGAAACTCGCATTGTCTTGGGTAAGAGCTATGGTTATAACTTGTATCTTTTGATAAGAATAAAGGATAAGTTATTGAAAACATAATCTTTAGATTATAACCTTATTTAAGCTTTTGAGTTAAAATGCAAGCTGTGTCTAGAAGCTGTGAAACTTGAATATTTTAAAACCAATATCTAGAAAGAAAAGCATAAAAAGCAGTTAAAATAAGGTTAAATAAAAATATCAATAACAAGACAAACCAATATAAAAAATAAGTATATCCTGTGCATGTGTAAATCTTTCATTCTTAAATGCAGGTGTGTGTATATGACATAAATTAAAATATATTATTGCTATTTATAACGTGTTAGGCACCGTTATTACTCAAGAATAATTATGGCAGATTCAAAGGATTTTCTGTTATTGCTTAATTCTTTTAGCTAATATGAATATTATTTATTGTAATTATCACTTCTAGTGACAATTGCAATTTGTGAAAGTCTGATCCTCCTAACGATACTCCTAGCTTATAAGACATTTCATTTATTATTGTCAGTCAATACAGCAAATATTGATTAAACATGCAATTTACATTATGTAAAAATTAGCAGACGACCAGTTTGGGATCCATGGAATTACCGTAGCACCAGTACGGTTGGTTTGGCTTTAACTGCAGTACTTTTTACCTTCAGAACCATTTTCCAATCTCATAGAAAATATATATAACAAAATTGAATAATTGAGCATTAATCTGATGCCATCCCAGATCAGGGCAAGCGTTGTTTCAGGTTCCAATAAAATGCAGAGGCGTTTTTTTTCGTGGATATAGAAAGGCCAAAGAACCTGAAAGGAATGGAATACCTGTCAATCAAGTTGTACGCATGATGCCAAAGTCCATCTATTAAATTGCTATTAATTTTTTTTTTCACAGAAAAGGATACAATGGAAGTATGGGTGAATGGAAGTGTTGTGGAAACTGCTGTAAGTATGTTCTTACGATACATTAACATAAGATACATTGTTCAGTTGTTTCTGTGTAGTTCCAGAAATTATCCATACCCCCCATGGAGCGATTTTTTTAAAGGCCCCCCCCCTGGAAATTTCAATTTTCTTCCATACATACTGTAATTTTGTTATTTCTCTGACCCCAAGACCCCTTGGAAATTCCAAGTTTCTCTGTAGGGGGTAGGGGTGGGTATGGATAATTGCTGAAACACACAATAATTATTGCTGTATTTCCTCTATTTAGCCTCCAGTCTCTAATAAGCCCCCATGCCTAATGAATATTGTGGTCTTTTTCCCTTAGCAGGCCTTTCAAAGTCATTAACCTTGACATTTGAGATTATGAATAAAAGTTATTATGACTTTCCAAAGATTAGGAAAATCTATTAAGTCCCCAGCCTCTAATAAGCCTCCCCCTTCTAATAAGCCCCCCAGTCCAAAACCACTGAAACAGAATAAGCCCCAGGGAAGCTTTATAGAAGGAATACCATAAATGACAATTATTATCATACCATACTACTGTGGTAATGATAAAAGAGTAAATTATACACCGTGAAAAGATGACGTTTCGAACGCTAGTTCTTTGTTGGAGTAAAAGAGAAAGCGGTGGTAAAAAGGAGTGTTTATATAATGAGAATAAGACAAAAGAAACCAATGAGAACAAGGTGGGCAAGGAAATGTAAACAAACATTCATACTACTGTAGGCAAATGGTACATTTATATGAAACATTCAACAAAACCTTCTCCAATCCTTTTTGAAATAACCCTGTATTGCTTTTTTTCAACAGGGAGAATTTGTAGATGATGGTACAGAAACTCACTTTTCATTGGGCAGACACAACTGCTGTGTTAAAGCAGTCACCACAGGCAAAAAACGTGATGGCATATTGCATTGTCTTCTTATTGACGATAATGAAATTCCAGAAACAAGTGAATAATGTTTGTCGTTTCTTCGGTGTTACCAAACAGTTTCATGCTGATTTTTGTTTTGTTTAAGTTTGGTTTGCAAGTTTTAGAATATTTATGAAAAGTTATTGAGTTAGTGTTAAGATGTCCATACTATCTACATGTACAGTTTGAAGYTCTCAGTTGCTCAAGGTTAGCCTGGATTTTGTGTAGAATATTCACATTTTTCAGTGAAGGTTCGTGGAATTTTAATGTTACCGGGATTTTCCATATTCTGCAAACTCAGACATTTCAACAGCTTATTGTGAAATTGGTTTATCACTGCTGCCAGTCAAGAACATAAACGGTACCCACTGATTATTTTTGATTGATGGCAGCGAAAAACCAAATTTTAGCAATATGCAGCTGGCAGGTACCTAGTTCGCAGAATATGGAAAGCCGCAGTAAAGTTGTGCATTCTTTACATTACCATTGGTATTCGTGAATATGAAGACATAAAATGAGGCTAACCCTGAGTAAATGAGTCTGTGATCGAGGAACACAGCAGTATCGTTATTTACTATTCTTTCCGAGGATACAAAGACTCAGGATTCAAAACAATAACTGATTTAAAACTTGAATTCTGGTTGGATTATTCCATATAATGAACACCATAATTCAATCAGGATTCGAGTTTTGAATCAGTTATTATTTGAATCCTGGGTCTTTAATAAATTTCAATATTTGAATAATGAAACCTTTAATGGAACCTAGGAGAGTAAGTTTGAGCCGTTTTGACCGTACATGGTTTTTACCATTTTCCTTCTGGAAACAATTAACTTGAAACCAAAAGTAAGAATTCCACCTTTACATTAATAGTTTTTGTGATGGGAAATATATAATTTACCATTAGGAAAATTATAAATGTTTTAAAATTATTATTACCTGTGTTTGTGACATTCAGTATTGCTAGAAAGCAAGGTGTAAGAGCAAATATGTCTGCAGGCAACATATCACATCGATTTCATAATATATAAGAAAAATAATGAAGTTAAAGTCAACTTTGTTTCAAAATAATTTAAAATAATAGCTAGTTCAAATTTTCAAATTAAGAGCAAAGATTGTCCTTGAGTATGAAAAAAATTAAGGTGTGATTTTATTCTTTTATATTAGTTATTACCCACGTTATGATAATATAAATAGCAGCTTTTAAAGTGCCAATATTTCACTATAATTGATAACAAAAAGTGCTAAATGAAAGATTTTATTTTACCAAATGAATATTCTCCAAAGAATTCAAAGAAAGTCTCACTTTTTTCATAGGTTGAATGTCAATTGATTCACACATTTAAAAAAAGACTGTAAATATGTTTTGACTAGCATATTATCATGTGTTTGAGTGCACAGTGCTAATACTGTCATCTGAAATAAAGATTCTGATTCAGAAGTGAATTCTGGTTTAATGAACATTGAATCTAATTCTGTGCCAGCACTAAAATATGACCAATGAGATCTATCAAAAAACCCTTACCAGATGTCTGGAAAAACCCTACCAGATACAAATAGAAACTGGTGTGTATCAAAATATCCAAAGAAATGTCTGGAAAACCCTACCAGATGTATGGAAACTGGTGTGTATTAAAATATCCAAAGAAATGTCTGGAAAAAACCCTACCAGATGTATAGAAACTGGTGTGTATCTGCAAACATCCTAAGAAATGTCTGGAAAAACCCTACCAGATGTATAGAAACTGGTGTGTATTAAAATATCCAAAGAAATGTCTGGAAAAAACCCTACCAGATGTATAGATACTGGTGTGTATTAAAACATCCAAAGAAATGTCTGAAAAAACCCTACCAGATGTACCCTACTTGTGAGTATTTTTATTCGAGCATTTGTTGAGCCCAGCAATTGGGTGAGGAAGCTAACTACATTTATTTGAAAATGTATATGTTGGAATATGTTTACAACTTTATGCCAAGTTTAAAACAATTCTGATTAAAAATACTTCATTTGCCTCCGAACATCCTTTAAAAATTAATTTCCTGTTGATCTAGGTAGACTGATTGACTACTTGATTGATTAATTTAAGATTATCTATATATTACTATCATTAAGTTTTTGTCTTATTGATAGTTCTCATGCTGTCTCATAAGAGTAATTAAAGATTGACTAGTAGAGTGGAGGAAAGGGGCCTGTTGGCTGTAACCTAGAACAGTTTGTAAGAAAAGAAAAATTAATACAAGTCAAGATCAAGGGCTTGGTCCATGAGGTCACTCCTTGACTGACCTCATGTTCCATTCATTCAGTATCATGACCCCCCCTCCCTTTGAGCTCATATTACATTCATTCAGTATCTGGAAACCCCTCAACCTCATGTTTCATTCATTCAGTATCTGGACACCCCTCAACCTCATGTTTCATTCATTCAGTATCTGTACCCCCTTTGACCTCATGTTCCATTCATTCAGTATCTGTACCCCTTTTGACCTCATGTTCCATTCATTCAGTATCTGGACCCTCTTTGACCTCATGTTCCATTCATTCAGTATCTGGACCCCCTTTGACCTCATGTTCCATTCATTCAGTATCTGGACCCC